CCGTCCATCTGTCCATTATAATTTGTAAACACGATACAGGACACAGTTTTGGACGAATCTTCACGAAATTTTGCATGTAGGATGGGTTCGGCCCAGTGAAGACCCCTATTGTTTTTGGTAATGATCGTTTAATATTTAGGGGATGAAATGGACCAAAACTTGTTTGATTTTCTGGTCGCTCCAGAGGTCGAAATTATGGCCCAAGCTTCGCGAATTTTTACATGGAGAAGGGGATCGTGCCAAAGAATAAGCATGCCTGTTTTGATAAAGATCGGTCAATATTTAGGGAGTCAAACCCTGACTTTTGAGTGAAAAATTACAAAATTTGTATTCTATAGCGTATATATTTACTCCTGAAGGACATAGACCCGAGAAGTTGATAGCATATCCAAGAGGAGTGGTTGACCATTAAATTGATACCAATTATATTGTCGTATGTACGGGAATTACACTTAAATATTTGCAGGTGTTTATGTAGTCATATATTACTAAGTAACCCATTACCATATTAGAGGCCGAAAATATAGCGCTAATTACTTTTAATTTTTCCATGAGAATACAGGTATGGTCACGCCTATAATTTGCGATGATGGTCAGATTATAATATTGGAATGAAGTGGACCGAAAACGTAATTTTTTTGTGTTTTTTGAGTCGATGCCAATAATAGGCCGAACATCACAACACAACCCACAATGAAGGAAATCTGGACAATTAATTAGAAGGGCTGTACTGAATATGAATAGTAATATTCGGAAAATATTTCAGGGTAAGGAACAGGTTCTGTTGACCTCTAATCGGACTAGACTGAGCAAATATCACGAAATATTGCCCAGGCTCGGAATAAACATCCGCAGCAATTTAGAGTCCCATGTAAGTTGTGTAGGGTATCGTATGATCGGCCCCGTCCGACTATACTGCTCTGCTCACTGGTTTAAAAATATTTTTTGGGGTCAATAAAAGTCATGTTTTTTTAAAAATAGTTTTTAGATACTGAAGAAGGATTGACTATTTTTTGAGGTCTTTGAAAGAGGCATGGATTTTAAAAAAAATATTTTTTATTTTTTTAAATATCTAAAAACTAATTTTAAAAATCTGGGACTTCTTTAGCCTCCACAAAAAAGAAAAATTTAGCAATCCACGCCTTTAAAAAAAAGAAATATTTAACAATCCACGACTCCGCTATTGTATTAAAAAAATATTTTTTAAAATCCACGCCTTTGTATAGCCCACTAACAAATATTTTAAAACCCCACGCCTCTGAATAACACCTTAAAATATATTTTTCGAAGATCGATGCCCTTTTTCAGTACCCAAAAAAAAAAAAAATATTCAAAAAAACCACACCTTTGTATAGAATATTAAAAAAATATTTTTAAAACACTTTTGTATAAATCCACACTCTTTTAGGTATTCAGAAAGAATAAACGCCTTTGCCACTGCTCTATAAAAAAATCCTCGTTTTTTTATAGTCCTTTAACAATATTTTAAAAAATTCTATAATATTCGAAAAAATCCACGCTGAAAAAATGTTTTTAAAAACTCAAAGCTTATATAGGCCCCAATTTTTTTTTTTTTTTTTTTTTTGAATATGTCTTTAAAATTTCTTTTAAAAAATGAAAACTTTTGTCAGCACCCCAAAAAAAAATTAAATCCAGGCCTTTGTTTGTACCCAAAAAATATTTTTTTATAAATCCATACCTTGTAAAGTCCCATAATTTTGTTATAAAATGTTTGGTGGCGTGCCCCTAACCAATTTATCCCAACCCCTTTAATTTATTGTTGTTGTTATCTTAACCTTGCCTATAATTTATTTATAGTGTTGTTGTTTTTATTTGACTGATTGAAAATTGTTCGTACGCATTATAGCGGATAATTTGCAATTACATTAAATTGCCTGGGCTGTTGTTGTTGTCGTTGCTGTTCTGAGTGGCTGTTGATTTAAATCAAATCATGGCCCGCCACAAAAAACAAAAACAACCACAGGAAAAAAATAGAATTTCCTATATAATATTAAAATAGTAGTTGTCTGATTATATGGTTTATTCAACCTTTCAATTTGCCATTTAAATTTCATTGCATCTCACAACAGGTTTTTGCATTATTAGTTTGCATTTTTTATTATTTTTATTTTTTCGAAATTTAATTTAATTAAATTTCCTTATTGTAAACAAGCGTTTTAGTTAACTGATAACAATAGAATTTTGCAAACTATTAAATATATTAGTTTTATTTTTATTTTCAAATTTTTAATTTTGGTAATAACAAAATTAAACACCCTTTTGTGTGTGTGCAAACAATTCTAAACCCATCAAATATAAAAGCGAAATAAATTATTTTATTTTTTTGTTATTGTTGCTGTTTGTTTGCCTGCTTCATTATTTAGTTTTCTCTTGTTCTTCTTCGTCGTCTATTTGGCTTTATGACAAATGTTATTTTTTCTAAGCACGTGATAAAAATTTGTAATTATTTTCAATAATTTATTTTGGTTATTTTTTTTTAATTTTCAATCTTTGATCTTTATCAGTTTAAATTTGTTTTTGGCAAAATTTATAATTTAATTTGGGGTTAGGTTTTGAAGAACAAGTTTTTTAATTGGTTCTAATCTGATTGGATGACACTTCGGATTCATTGGACAAATACAAAAAAATTGATTTAAGGACATTAAAAATATGAAAAAATCAAATATGGAAGTTATAATTTGTTGCAAAAAATATTAAATAAATACTCCGAAAATATTAGAAAATTCTGAAAAAATTATAATTTTTTTCCAATTCCCAAATAATTGAAAAAATTGAAGTTTATTGACACATGTTTTATTTGATCAACACTGAAGGACGCTTTTGGTTTTGAATTTTCTTGTTTGGGTGTGTGTTTGAGTCTTCTTTATTATATTTTTGGTTTTCTTAACTCTTCTTGTCATTTATTGATTTATTTTTTGTTCGTTCGTTCGTTTCTTTTTGTTTGTTTAATTTTTGTTTTGTACAATTATTGTTCCATGGAAAACGTGTGTGGCTTATTTAATTACCACGGCGACAACGACGACAAACAAAAGACAAAATGTGTGGCCACTTTTTTTTGTCGCTTCGAAGCTTGTCTTTTTTTATTGGTTAAGAGGAACCTCCTCTCTTGGTCAAAAAAATCGGCTATAACAGCTAAAAAGTAGTTCCAAAAAAGTGACACAAAAACAGAAACAAGAATAAAAGCTTTTGCGTGATTAGAATTATTAAGTAAGGGGATGAACATCGAGAGGAAAACGTGGTACAAAATCCACGTCTTCTATAGAACCCCAAAAAATATATTTTAAAACCAGTAAGGAAAGTAGCAAAGTTGGACTGGGCCGACTATATGATACCCTTCACCACTTTGGGTATATTCTACATATATATCCTAACAGACGTCGCGTTTTTCTTATATATCTGAACCGGTTTCAGGGAAACTTGCCATATACTAATTTATATTACTTCAGTACGTTCTGTCAATCGGCCTAGCTATCACGAAGCTTAGCAACATCATTTTATAGCCTAGACAGACGACAGCCCTAATTTGCATTAACAGCCTTAATTCAAATGAACTTGTACATTATCCTCATTTTTATGTGTTGTTAATGCACAAAATCAAACTGAATTTATACTGAATTAGGCAATTTCAATATGGCAATGCTGTCGAAAATTGTTTCTTGTCAAATTTATGTATATTTATGAAAATAAAAATAAGAAATGAAGGTAAATTTCAACCATTTAAATTGGGAGCTGTTTTGCTAAGATCATAATTGCTATTCCTCCTTTATGTCATGTATTTATTTCCCAAAGATGTAATCCCGAAATATATCGAAACAAATGTAAAAAATTTTCATCATACACACAGACAAACAATTGTTTTGAACCAAAAAACTGTTTCGTAAATGCAGAAACTCTCGTCTGTCAGGGGTAAATATTAATTCAAATTAAGAAATTTTTAATGCAAATTAAGGCTGTCGTCTGTCTATGGTATTAGACTTAATTCAGTAGCATATACCAAAATTCATGCAAATCGAAAGATATATAGGGACTTTGGTGCACCAATTACACAAAATCTGACCAAAATATATATGTGGGAGCCATATCTAAATCTGAACCGATTTTCACGAAACTTTGCAAAAATTCGTGCAAATCGAATGATTTTGAGGGACTTTGGTGCACCATTTACCCAAAATCGGGCGAAACTATATATGGGAGCTATATCTAAATCTGAACCGATTTTCAGGAAACTTAGCACACGTCATTCTAGACTCCATTCAGTACGCTATGCCAAAATTCGTGCAAATTGTATGATTTCAGGGACTTTGGTGCACCAATTACATAAAATCGGACGAAAATATATATGGCAGCTATATCTAAATCTGAACCGAATTTCACGAAACTTAGCTCACGTCATTCTAGACCTTATGAATTACGCTGTGCCAAAATTCGTGCAAATCGAAAGATATATAGGGTCTTTGGTGCACCATTTACCTTAAATCGGACGAAAATATATATGGGAGCTATATCTAAATCTGAACCGATTTTTCCCAATTTCAATAGGGTTCGTCCTTGGGCCAAATAAGTGACCTATTCCAAATTTCATCAAATTCGAATCATAAATGCGACCTGTACTTTGTTTACAATTTAACATCAACAGACGGACGGACGGACATACATAGTTCGACTCAGAAAGTGATTCTATATATATTCTCAAAAAGAACCATGGGTCTATCTCGATTCCTTTCGCCTGTTACAAACATATGCACAAATATATAATACCCTGTACCACAGTGTGGTGAAGGATGTAAAAATCCACGCCTTCTTCGGTAACTCAAAAAACTACGTTCAAAAATCCAAGCCTTCTTTAGAATTTCAAAAAAATATTTCTTAAAAATCTGCTGCTTTGTTAGACTTTAAAAAATCGGTTAAAAAATTATTTTCCATTTTTTCAATTGTTACTAATTTCCGTTTTTTTCCTCTCTCCCCGTCTCCCTTTCCAGACTCTATGATTGCATCTCGTCATAATCCAGCCCATCGTAACAGCACATCAAGTGAGGCAGCCGGCAGTGATGATCTGAATACGAGTTCCAGTAATGAAGACCTTAGCTCAGCCTATATTGTGCAGAATAAGGCGGCGAATAAGAAGTCATCGAAATCACGTCAAAAGCGACAACAGAAACGTAAACAAAACAACAATAACAACAGCGGCAACAACAACAGCAATGGTGGTAATACAACAAATACCAATCACAACAACCACAACAAATCGGGAGATTTGTTACAGCCCATGGACATTGATGAGGAGTACAAGGAGAATCACAAACCCAACAACAAATCGGCGAACCACAGCAACAACAACACATCTGCAGCTATTAATTTACGTAAACAATGCACAAAAGCTGCGGCTTTGAAAGCTGTACTGAATAACAGTAAACTGAGTAAATTGGGAGCGGGAGTGAATGCCCTGACCACATCTCCCTCGAACTCTTCGGTATGCAGTTCATTGTCTTCGGCATCATCGACCACTTCAATTTCCTCATCATCTCTGTCATCATCGGCCTCAAGTTCGCCGGCTCACTCGGTAAACTCCTCACCGACCGCCTCGCCCACAGCCAGCAAACGTAATGCGGAACATTTGAAAAAGGTGGCTGCGGCCTTGGCCCCACCTCTGAGGCAATTTGTGAAGTTGAATTTAACCGAATCGGAATTGGTGCAGCAAATGCGCCGTTATGTCATAGATCCTAGCTTGCTAAGGGTCTACGGATTCCCAGTGGAGTCCGTGCACCATGAGGGTTGTATCGAGATCTATAAATGTCTGCCCAAACATTTGGCCGAAGAGGCCGTGACCAAGGATAATCAAAGGCATCATCGCCACTTCTATGGACGCAAAAAGTCCAGCAGTGTCATCAATTCCTATGATGGCCTATCGAGTTCCCAGCAATGGTCCAATTCCACAACGGCCATAGATTCGGGCCATGGTTCGGGTGATTCAAGTCCACGTTTTACCGATTCCGATTCCAGTGAAATGGGTGAAGATGATATGACCTGTGGTCTGGATGCTGCCAATCCTCCCGTTATGGCTTTTTATACCCCCGATGGGGTGTATCAAATCTTTTCGGAATATGACAACTCCGTGGAGAAGCAATGTGTCCGCTGTTCGAAAATGTTTGAGGTGAATAGTGAGGGCGAATATTTGACCTTCGAACCGTGTACCTATCATTGGGGCAAGGCGAACAATGTCTATAATGGTAAATGTTACGTGAACATTTATTCCTGCTGTCAGGGTGAGGAGACGAGTGAGGGTTGCAGCCACCACCCCTTGCATGTGTGGAACGGGGCTGTGGTCGGGATCAATGGACCGTATAACGATTTTGTGCACACCAAACCAAGAGCGGAGAAGTTGAAACAAAAACATCCCAAAATCTATGCGATTGATTGTGAAATGTCCTACACAGGGTTGGGATTGGAGGTGACGAAGGTCACCGTGGTCGGCTATGATGGTTCGCTGGTGTATGAACACTTTGTAAGACCCCAGGCGGAAATTATCGATTATAATACCCGTTTTTCGGGTATTACCGAAAAAGATCTCTCACCCGATTCGAATAATTCGATTAAGACCTTTGCCCAGGTTCAACAGGATTTGTTGAAATTATTCGATGCCGATACCATTTTGATAGGCCATGGGTTGGATAATGATTTGAGGGTATTACGTTTGGTGCACAAGACCATTGTTGATACATCGCTGATATTCAGCCATTCAACCGGATATCCTTATCGTCGATCTCTTAAGAATTTAACCAAGTCCTTCCTGAAGCGTGACATTCAATGCAGCGATAGTGGTCACAGTAGTTTTGAGGATTCGAGGGCGTGTTTGGAATTGATGCTGTGGAAGGTACGCAAGGATTTGCGTCACTGGAGTTATCAATGAGAGGAGAAAGAAGGCGAGAGAGATGATGATGATGAAGAGGTGGAGGAGGGGGATACTGAAGAGGAGGATGATGGTGTTGGCATGATCGCAGTACAGCATCGGGTTAATCTCAATAAACAATACCCAGCTGATGCTGAAAATGGTCCTTCGACCTTTAACGAAACCCAACGTTGGGCGCCATTTCCCATGAAATATTGGTATTCCTCCCCCCTGTCGTCGGAATCTTCACCCTCTGTGTACTATTGTGATTGTTTGCGTGTATATACGACAAGTACTATTAATTGTAATAGTAATAATAGTAGCTGTAGTGGTATTAGTATTAGTAATAGTCTCTATACGACGACATTGAATAGCGATACTAGATGTACTAGTAGTAGTGGTAGGGTCGTCTATGCGACGACGACATATTTTACTGTAAATAGTAGCTGTGTGATGTCGACGATGATGATGACGACGCGTGAATGTTTTTATTATCGTAGCCTATAAGTGTGTGAGTGAGAGAGTGAGTGTCTGACAGTGTATATGTGTGATTGAGAATGTATGAGTGTTAATATATTTTTACAATGTTTGTATGAATGTCTGAGTGTTTTATATATCTTTATACATATTTTTTTATTAATAATAATTTTTCTTCTGGATTTTTTCCTTCTATTTTTCATCTTACTTTTATTCTCCCTCCTCTCCCCATTTTTTTCAACAACAAAAAAATCATTTATTTCCCCCCTACTCTTGTTTCGTATGCAAAACACACACACACATAAGTCAACACTTATTGTTGTTGTTGATACAAAAAAATTGACTGAAAATTGTAGTTTTTAATCGACATTTTTAGTAGAATTAAGTTAACAAAAAATATTAAAGAAAATAAAACAACAAAAAATAAAAATTAGAAAAAAATAAAAATAAAAACACCGACCAGCTGCTGCTGGGCTGGGCTGTTCGCATTAGCTCCTAAGTTATACCTATTTATTATAAAGTATTTTTTTCTGTTAAGTTTTTTTATTTCGAATATCATTGATTTTTTTATTATTATTTCACACACACACACACCAACCCTATCAAAACAAAAAAAATACATCAACAAATCTTTTGTTTGTTAAACCAATTTATTAATTACAAAAAACAAAACGATAAAAATAAAGTTAACAAATTTTTTTAGTTAAAACAAAAAACAAACCTCTTTTTATTATTTTGGTGGGAATTATCAGATTGGGAAATTGAAAAATAATAAAAAATTGGGTTACATACTCCCCCACACAAAATAATTTTGTAAAAATATTTTTTGAGGGTTCCTAAAGAAGTCGTGGATTTTTTTAAAATATTTCTTGAGGGTTCCTAAAGAAGGCGTGGATTTTTTTTTAATATTTTCTGAGGGTTCCTAAAGAAGGCGTGGAATTTTTTCAAATATTTTTTGAGGGTTCCTAAAGAAGGCGTGGAATTTTTCAAATATTTTTTGAGGGTTCCTAAAGAAGGCGTGGATTTTTTTAAAATATTTTTTGAGGGTTCCTAAAAAGAAGGCGTGGATTTTTTTCAAATATTTTTTGATGGTTCCTAAAGAAGGAGTGGATTTTTTTTCAAATATTTTTTGAGGTTTCCTAAAGAAGGCGTGGAATTTTTTTTTAATATTTTTTGAGGGTTCCTAAAGAAGGTGTGGAATTTTTTTCAAATATTTCTTGAGGGTTCCCAAAGAAGGCGTGAATTTTTTTTAAATATTTTTTGAGGGTTCCTAAAGAAGGCGTGGAATCTTTTCAAATATTTTTTGAGGGTTCCTAAGGAAGGCGTGGAATTTTTTCAAATATTTTTTGAGGGTTCCTAAAGAAGGCGTCGCTTTTTTTATTAGTTTTTGAGGGTTCTAACGAAGGCGTGGATTTTTTAAAATATTTTTTAAGGCGTGGATTTATTTTAAATATTTTTTGAGGGTTCCTAAAGAAGGCGTAGATTTTTTTAAATATTTTTTGAGGGTTCCTAAAGAAGGCGTGGAATTTTTTTTAATATTTTTTGAGGGTTCCTAAAGAAGGCGTGGCATTTTTTCAAATAGTTTTTGAGGGTTCCTAAAGAAGGCGTGGAATTTTTTTTATATTTTTGGAGGTTTCCTAAAGAAGGCGTGGAATTTTTTAAAATAGTTTTTAAGGGTTCCTAAAGAACGCGTGGAATTTTTTTTTAATATTTTTTGAGGCTTCCTAAAGAAGGCGTGGATTTTTTTAAATATTTTTGAGGGTTCCTAAAGAAGGTGTGAATTTTTTTATATTTTTTGAGGGTTCCTAAAGAAGGCGTGGAATTTGTCAAATATTTTTTGAGGGTTCCTAAAGAAGGCGTGGAATTTGTCAAATATTTTTTTAGTGTTCCTAAAGAAGGCGTGGATTTTTTTTTAATATTTTTGAGGGTTCCTAAAGAAGGCGCGGATATTTTTAATATTTTTTGAGGGTTCCTAAAGAAGGCATGGAATTTTTTTAAATATTTTTTAATGGTTCTTAGAGAAGGCGTGGAATTTGTCAAATATTTTTTGAGGGTTTTTGAAAATTTTGAGGCTCTATAGAAGGCGTGGATTTAAAAAAGTTTTGAGGCTCTATAGAAGGCGTGGATTTAAAACAAAATGTGAGGCTCTATAGAAGGCGTGGATATAAAAAAATTGAGGCTCTATAGAAGGCGTGGATTTAAAAAAAGAGGCTATATAGAAGGCCTGGATTTAAAAAAAAAATTGAGGCTCTAGAGAAGGCGTGGATTTAAAAATATTTTGAGGCTCTATACGCCATTAAACGGATTTTGGTCCAAAGAAACGTTGGGGTCCAAAACCAATATGTCGATGAGTAACATTTTTGTCGTATCAAAGTGTACTATACCCTCATTAGCCATAAGGCATACCCTCACCCTAATGAGGCCTACCTTTCACTAGATATGACCTATACAAACATTCTTTTTTAGAAAACTCTACAATTTCCATTTTACTTTTATTTACCTTCTAGACTCTTCGTTAAGCAAATAGTACTTTTCTATGAAATATCACGCTCCATTCAATATCCTTAATAGAAAAGCATTCTCTAAACAAAAAATATAACCGAATTAGAAATTAATATTGACTTTGTTTCTTTCTTCTATTCTTTCGAAAGTGGTCAGACGTTTCATTTCGAGCGTAACCCCAAACATTTCTCGAATTGTGTTAAAATTTATACTCTATTTAAGAACAAAAACAACTACAACAACAAATACAACTCAAATAAAAATAAAAACAAATAACAAATAAAGTAATAATTGACGAAAAGCTAAAAATTGAAAATAACAACAATAACAAAGAAGTCGACAAAAACAACAACAACATGGAATATCATCTCCAATGATTGCACACACATGACTTTTATTTAGTAACAGAATTAACACTTTTTTCCCTCTCAGTCTTGACGAAGTTTCATCAATTCCAATATTTACCTCAGCCTCAGCTCAATGTGCGAAATCGAAAATCACAGATGTATATCCAAAAAAATTTTGTTTTTTTTGAAGCCATGTTGATTTCATTGGACAACAACAACATTTATTTTAGCGTAAACATTTGTATTTCTTTTTTTTAACAAAAATAATAATAATCGAGAAAATAAATAAAAAAAAACATTTACTCGAGACTTTTGCTATTATAGAATAGGTGTGAAAGTGAGCTAAAAATTTTTAGATACAAAAAAATGTGATTTAATACAATTACAAATTCTTAGTCGAGAAGCACGAGTTCTACATCTGTTTTCGTTGATTTCATGTGCCATTTAAGGTCCATGCTTCAACATATCCCCAATATAAGGGCCCCGCCCAATTTTCGATATTTTTAGCCTCGTGTTAATGAACATATTTCAATGAAGAACATTTTCAATATAGGTCAATGTGGGTAAATACATACAAAAGTCCCGCTTAAAGTTCCTAGCCTAGTTTTTCCAGCTCAATTTGTGTAAATTGGTATTAAATTTTCTAAGAAGAAAAACTTCCTACTAACAGACAATTTACAATGACTTTGCCTCCATAAAATTTCAAACATGGAAAGTGTTGCTGACAAGCACTGCTTCGGGCAGATATATAAAGCAGCCCTCGTATTTACAGCTAAATAAATCTGCTCTTCCTACAGTAGCTTATTTGGAACGACTCCCTTCACCTCGACACTTTTTACCTCGTCTACAGAGATTCCCTTCACATAGATCGTTCCTTAAACTTATCACCTAACATCATCAATATCGCCTATAAATACAACATCACTCACTTGCCGAATAATATCTTCAGCTCGTCTTTGAAGACTTCCTTCAGCTCATATACCTACCATGTAATAATTCTGTTCGGCTCATCAATAAGGTCTACACTTCAGGTTATCTAAAAAAACTATCCTCCATAAAGTCTTCATCCGATTTGTCTATAAAGTCCACCACGATTTCCTTTAATGGATTTTTAACCCTTCCAGCTTATCTGTAATCAATGACATATTTTGACCCGTGTCCTCTATAAATACCCCGTCCGACTGCTCTTTGAAGATTCTTGCCACTCAACTAAAATACGCCCAAGGTAGACTTTCCATGTAGACTTCATACGTCCAACTCTTGTATAAATACACCTTTCATCTCTATAAAGACTCACCCGTCTTGAAAATATCCCTTTCCGATCCTATATATGCAGGTCGTCTATAAAGACTCTCTCCAGGTTAGCAAAAAATTGTCTTTAATTCAATTACTTATTTATGTTTGATTAAAATTTGTCCATCATAAAGTCTTCCTCCAGTGGGTCTATAAGGACTCCTACCATCTCATCTATAAAAGCTCTCTCCATTTCGTCCTTGAAGACTAGCTCGTCTACAAAGGTACCATCCAACTCGTCTATAAAGGCTCCCTTCATCTCGTCTATAAAGACTTCATCCAAATCTATATTTAAAGAATCATCGAAGCTCGTCCATAAAGGCTCCTTGAAACTCATCCATTGAGATTTTCTTCGACTCGTCTATAAAGGTTCCCTCTATCTCTATAGAGTCTCCCTCCTGA